GGGGGTGTTCGTTTATTTTTCTTTTTCTTGTGGTTTTTATTTTTTAAAATATTTATTCATTTTCTGCTTTTGTAATGACTGGCATGTTTGCCCAGCGGTGGTCAAGCTATCTCTGCGTAGCTGTGTGTGAAAGGTTGAGGTTTGGTCACCAGTGTGTTGTCCAGGTCGCAGGAGGGGGAAGGCTGGCAACTGCTGCTTTTGGTGGTGGACGGTATAAGTCTGTGGGCTGGAGGTGTCCGGTCAGAGAGGTCGTGGTCATGTCAGGAGGTTTGGTCTCAAGTCACAAGAGTCTGTTTTGTTAAGGGAAGGGGAAGGTTGTGAAGTTGGAAGTGGAAATAAAATTGATTGTGCTATCATGCCTTTCCTAGCCTTTTCTGGAGGGCTTTGCACTTTTATATCTTCATTTTAAATGAAATAGTTTTACGCAAGTGTGTTCCATATGAACTGGAATTTAAAAAAGAAAAAAATTTAACTAGACAGGTTAAGTAGATATTGAGGTGGATGCGAAAAGGTCAGGGTTGCTGAATTTTTGCTGTGTTTGCATTTTGCCGAGAACAGTGGAGGTAATATGTTGTCATTTATGAAAAGGAGGATGGTGTGAACTGTTTGAAAAGGGAGACTGGGGGAACGTAGTTGAACTAGATTAGTTTTATGTAGTTGGGTTTCACGAAAGCAGGATTTTGTCCAGGTCTCAGCCTGATGATGTAAGATAAGAAGAAGAATGTTGGTTAGGATGTGTGAGTCTGGGTTTCTTTGCCCCCCCACTGACTACCTCTTGTGATCACTTAAAGTCAGAAAGTTGCAGCCTTCCCCTTGTAGTTGCAGCTCTCATATTTGTGTTTTTTCCTGTCTGCTTCATTCATTCATTTATTTATTTATTTATACTCGTCATATACGCAAGGTTGGTGGAATGAACTTTGGTTTTTTTTTTTTTTTCGCTCTAGCTCTTCTCAAGGGGTTTCTAGCATATGGCTGACTATATTTCATGAATTGTTTCTGGAGCATCTTGGTTTTTCGTGGCATGACTCATCTTGTCACAATTCGTACAATTTGTTGTCATCATGCCTTCAAGCAATGGTTGTTTTACACCATGGTGCCAGTGATAATGCTCGCTAATGAGCAGTGTTTGAAGTGACATATGCTTCGTGGACAGATGTGATTTGTCAGGCATTGCAGCACTGGTTGGAATTATCCAAGTACAGACTGTAATGTCTAGCGACAGTGCAAAAAAGATCGACTGTTGATTTTGGTATTCGGAAGAATGCATTGTTGAAATGGAGCGAAATGCAATGGCGTTTAAGTGACTGCAAAGTACACCGATCATTATGCTGCTCAGTTTGGAGTTCTGTGACAGATCTATGCTAGGGGCCCCTTGCTAGATTTTTCAGAAAGCACCCAGAAACTTCTGCCTGCACTTCTCTTGTATTTCTTTACAAATGTCATCGTTTATTGATTATCATTTGATTTCTGTGTGTGGCCAAGTCTCTCTATGAACTGTCCTGTGTCACCTACCCCCCTTGCCCCTTTCCCCTCGTCTCTGGCTCTGTCCCTGTCGATCACTCAACCATTGTGGTACTCACTCACAACTCACTCCTGTACTACCGCCCTCCCCTCACCACCTCATCATGGCAACAGCGAGCTACCATGATGGCCTTTAGGCGTAACAAACTCTTGCCTCGGGCGCCGTGGGCTTTACCCTTCATGCTTAACTTCCCGGTAAGTCGGAGGCACCACCACCACCACCCACCCACACACCCA